TCAAAGGAGCTTCCCCTGTTCTGTGATGTGAAGAATGAGCTTTCTTGAATTTGTGATGTTTCCACTTCTTCGTGTTCTTTCTATTTTAGATAATCAATCTAGAATTAATTGCCCATGGAACCCTGGGTATTTCCCAAGGTTGATGGCAGAAATATCTGCAAGCAGATGAGAATAACTATTAATAACATCGTTTTTGAGTGGTGGGGGCTTAAAGACCAAGGCCTCTGTAGCCTGTAGTTAATGCAGTGCAGGTATTCTATATTTTGGCAGGATAAAACATAATGCATTTTAATAAAAGTATTTTTGCTGCTGGAATTTGGTTAAGAATTGAAAGGTAAATCCACTGCAGCTCAGCCTTTGGGTGATTAACCAGTGTGGGAGACCAGGCTGGGAAATCTCCCTGTATCCTGTCTTGCTGTATTCCCCATGCAGTTGGAGTCATGGAGGGGTTTCTTCAACATTTTTTTGTCCAAAATACTAAATCATTTAACTTCATTATTTCTTCTATTCTCTCCATGAAAACATGACATTTAGAAGCACAGCATATTTGAAATTATTCAAGAAACAATTTATTTATGGATTGCCCTCCTCCTCTTCTTCCCTGGTTTATGAGCCTGTAAGTTGTAACCACTGTATTAGGGAAAAAATGTTTTCCCTACGGTTTTTACTGAGTACTTGCTTTTGTTTGTCTTTCCAGGACTGTTATGCATAGTAGGGAAACTATTCATAGAAGTAAAAATAACCTCCATGCAAACCTAAATGGAAACAGATATGGATTGAGAGACAAATTCAGCTCTACTCATTTTATATGCAAATAACCTAACCCATGCAATACAGGAAAAAAAAAATTAAAAAGCAATGTCTCTTTCAGTACAGAGAAATTATGACATTGCAGCTAGAAACCATAGCAACAGTATAAAAAAATAAAGTAGGGAAGCATTTGATCTAGTATTGACTCATTTTTTTTACTAAAGATCAAAGCATCCAGGGCCTTCTTTGAAATATGTAATAATACATTGAGTCTAATTTCCAGGGCCTAATATTGTAGAAGTTGAAAAGTTGGGGAAAAAATGGAAAAGCAACTTTGCTGGGAGGTGTTTTTTTCTCAAAATGTACAGCTTAAGAATACTTCAAGTAGAGCTTTCAGTGATAATTTTAGTGCCACTTGTCAGTTAGCCAAAACACTTTCTGTTACTAGATAAGTATTTCAAATAAAATTCAAAATTACCATATCAAAACATTACCGCTCCTAGGCAGCACATTATTTACTGAATGAAGGTGAATATGCATGAGGATCTCTTTTTCATTACTCCATTTCATTTTGTTTTAACGAGCACAGGTTGCTTCTTGAGTTATATGAGACCTTTAATTGGTGTCAACAACTGTGACAATGCCTCTCTTCACGGTTTTCTCCCTGCCTCGCTTTTCAGTAAACCAAAAGGCAGAAAACATGCTTCAATTTCAGATACATAATGTGCTTTAAAATTCCACCAGCACTGCAGAGTGTAATTATCCTCCAGAAATAAAGATATTAAAGTGATTTCATTAAGTTAATTCCCCTGTATTGCCTTTGCAGGAGTCATATTACAAATGGTAGGTTTCCCTTTCTAAGACATAGCAGTAAAGTCTAGATGTAGCACCTGCTCTCCCCAAAATCCAGGGAGTTTTTTAATCAAAAACGGTTAATTTTGGCATGTAGTCTTCAAAATTCCTGGAACTTTCATATACCTAGTTCAGGTTGGATTTTCTTGTCTTGTGTCTGATCTAACCCCCACAGAGGCGAGCAGGGGCCCTTCCCCTGGCTCATGGGCATCATTCACACGATTTCTCACAAGCTGGAGCACCTCTAAAGGTGTGTGGTGCAGAGAGAAGATAAAAAATAGGAAGTCACTTGCCCACTTTGGCATGCACATGTAGGGAAGTTGTCAAATGTAATGTGTTGAATTTAACAAACCTTTGACAAGACATGCCAAAGAATGTTATATAATCCTGTCTGCAACTGAAAATATACCTGTCTGCCTTTAGTTTGCGGTCCTGAGCTTCAGAACAATCCTGATATCCATCCTCTGTTGAGGGCAAATCTGCATTTTTTATCTTGATGTACATGCCTATTATTTTTCTATGCATGTTTTATAAATATAAAATATATTAATAGAATGAAAACATAGACTATATATGCCTTTAAAATTAAACCTGGAACAGTCCTGTCGTGCTGTAAGCATGATGAATATGGTGGGATCTCTGAGTCTAGATGCTGTTGGAGCTTTAGGATTGGCACTGTGCAAAGAAATTGGGATTTATTTTTAAAATGTGTGGTACTCACTTTGCATTTTTACTCTCATTTATATTTGGTAGGATTTTTTGGTAAACCCGCCTTTTTGTGCTGACCAAGATTGAGTCTTTTTGGCAAAGTTCAGTCTAAATCCTCTAAATCACACTTCTGTCCTTGGCCTTTCTTAAGTCAAATTATCAGAGCTTGAATGCTAAGCTGTGACCTTTTTTTGGTGATGTAGGAGTATGAAGCAGCAGTTTTAAACCTAGGAAATAAAGAGAAATAAAGATTACTGCCTCCCATATTTCACAGGTGGGTGTTTTCAAACACTTTCTGAAATAGATCTTTTGTAATGCTTAAATGATAAATTGCATTACAGAAGTTTTCAGAAATTGGATTGCTAAAATCCAAACCATTTCAATATGCTGTAGATGCTTCTATGTAATTGCATATGATATGGGCAGATAGTTCTCTGAGAGTTTGAAAAATTACTTGTGAATGGCAATCAAATTGCCTTTAAAGATATATGAATTTATAGTGATAATTTCTTTAAATTCTCCAAGTTTCATCTCATGTTTAGCATCTGAAACAGATTAATAAAAATGTTGTGAGGCTTGATCAACAGCAAAAGTTTAATTAACTTTGTGAATTAGAAGTACCAAAGTTTTCATTAAGAGGTTATGAAAGAATTAGTACTGTTAATTCACCCTTGAGTCAGGGATATACCCCCTAGAAGTGCCATTCCTTTACATTTCTCATAAAAACATTATAAATTAATTGAAAATTTGTTAAAATCATTAATGGTATTTCACAGTGTAATTATTAAAATTCATGTCATATGTGAAAATGTCAAGAATTATCACCTCTTTTGACAACAATGGTGCTGTCGATAACAAGGGATCAGCCAGACATAACATGGACATCATGTTTTGTGATACTGTTTTCATGCAGTTATCAGAATAATGGCACACATCATTTTGAACATGCTTGACTATTTTATATTTGCTTGTAACTTCTCCTTAAGATGTGTTTTCAAATGGCCAGGAGCTGGAGCTCCCTGGCAGCCACCATTCTGGCACTTTCTATCTCTGCTGGGGTAGAGCCAGAAGTGGGAGGATTTATAGGGGCACAGGGAGAATTGTGAGATTTCATTACCACCCATTTGTTTTCAAGCACTTTTTTATCCTCAGGTTCCAAAAGATTGGGAGCGCAGAAATTTTGTGTTTTTACTTGCTTGACCTACCATTGAAAAGTGGTGTGATCCCACCTCTTCCTTTCTGGGGGAATTTTCTGTTCTGAAAAAGCAAACGTGGGTTGTAGGAAGGGAAGATGACTTGCTACACTTTTGAGTAAATTCCAATAATTTGGGCCCTCCTGGCTGCAGCGATTGTCCCCAGAAAATGTCACTGTGAGATCAGAGGCAGCTGTGGCGCGGCCAGAGGAGCCCACATCCTCCTTGCAGCTTAACCTCAGCCTTCCTAGTCGTGTCTCTACTAACCACCAGCACTGGGGAAGAAAGAAAAGAAGAGAAAAAGAATTGCAGACAGCAAAAATTAAAACTAGGTGATAGACTAGAAGTTGGGTATCAAAGAATAGATATTTTTCACCCTGTCTGCTTAAGATGTGTCAGGATTTTAACCTCAGTTCTTAACTTGAGGAGTGTATTCAGGCCTTCAGGCTACTTAATATCCTTTACTGTCTAAATGACTTGGTTCCTTCATGTAGTTTGATAAAGTGGGTTATTTTGCATACAGGACTGTTCTGGTTCAGGGCAAATTTGGGAGACAACTTCCAAAGGGATTTCTCTAGAAAAGCAGATTTAATTGGCCCCTCTCCTGACCGGTTCAGGAAAAATACTTCTTTGTAGAAAAGTGGAAAATACTGTTTATTAAACAATAAAACCTAAACAACATTAAACAATAAAACCCCTTGTTGCTCCAAAAGAGATGACAAATTGAGAAAGTCCCTCAATTTGCCAAAAGTATGCCTACTTTTCTGCTTACCTGTATTTTATTGAAATGAAATTAGTAAATGAATTTCATTGGGAGTAATTCATGAAATTATTTCATCGTATGTGGGAGGACGGTACCACCAACATATTTGAAAAAGCAAAGAAAATTAATTAATTGAAAACGCACAAAGGAAGATTTACTCAGTTGTAGTTTTTTTCCCAGATGCCTATACAATTAATAAAATAGACATTTCAATAAAAAATTAAATTAACACAAAGAAACTTGAAGACCTTCTTCTTGAAGACAGCTGTATTGTGTAAAATTAATTTGCTCTGAATGCCAAGAACATTTGTTATAAAGCAGCTGCCTATTTATTAAATATTATCATAGTGTGTTATTGACCATATTTCTACATCTCCTATTTTGAATTAGCATAGAACAAGTTTAAAAGAGGATATAAATATTTTGCAAGCTTCAGATAAGGTGACAAATGAAGGAGTAAATGTATTCAAGTGTATTGAAAGGGATTTATTTTGGAGGCTGTACTTCTAAAGAGGAACCAACAGCAAACAAGGAAACCAAAACATTATGCTTAAAAATCTCATATCACTTTGAAAAATGAAGCAAACACAGGAAAAAAACAACAATGGCAAAGTTTTTTATTAGGAAGGCAGCTCAAGTGTCTAGCATATTCCATCCTGCTTCTTGAATATTTCTCTACTGCTTTTAGAAAGCATCATGTGCAATTTGTACTTAAAAACAAGTTGGCACAGGTGATTCTTGAAAGTGGCTTCTGCAATCCCTTTAATAATGAATAATTATCTGTACTGAATTGCAATGGGAGACATTATAAATTCCTAAAGGCTCAGTGTTTTTCCTCACAGAAACGGGAGCCATCTCTTCTGATTTCTGTCCTGGTGCTTCTTCACCAGTTCCTTGTACACTTCTGACCTCAGAAACCTGGGAAAAGAGTCCTTTGCCATGAGACAGTAGACAGAGCTCTGAGCAGCATCAAAGCAGCGGAGGGTGGGCTCAGAGATGCTCTGGGAGATGTCGTTTTTGGTATGGAAGTCAATATTAATCTGTAGGAAGAAAGAAGCATGAAAGCAGTGTTGGTTTGCTCAGAAAGCTGAGGTCTGTTTGTGTCCAGGACACAAGCTGCATTTGAATTTCCTCCCAAATAACCTGACTGATGCAAATAAACAGGAAGCTCATCCCTTCCTTTTCTAGCAGACTGAATTCTTCATTTTATTTGGCTCTTAAAAAGATGGCATCACTGAAAAAAATAAGGGAAAAATTTGCTTTTCCTTCTCATCTTTCTGCCAAACCAAATCCTATGAAGTACTGATTACCAAAGAGAAAATTTAAAATGAAGGTACTCAGCATCATTTTAGACTTTGGCCCTATGTATTTTTAAAGGATTTTTTGTTTTTAACAATAATATCAATCAATCATCTTATTATTGATGGATATGATTACATTTCAATCATATGTAATACATGGGAATGTTTAAAGCACTCTTTCTAGCAAATGCAAAAACATCAGTGTAAATGTTTAAGGTGCAGAAAGTGAATAATGATTAATAAGCAATTTGTCTTTCACAGTAAGCCTTTTTGAAATAATTATAAAATTGAATTCTGTGATGGAAATTTTTGCATTCTCTTTATGTCAAAAATTACCTACACAAAAGAACAAATGCAATCATAAACCTACTAATGTTCTGGTACATTGAATACAGAAGAGATGGTGCTTACTGCATTACAAAAAATGATTAGAGAAAACAAATTATATTGAGCATAAACGTCCTTAAAACTTCTGGCAGAAATTTCAGAAGATGAGGTAAACTTATTCCCAGTGTGAAGAATGTGAAGAATGTGAAGTGTAAACCATAACATCTTTGCTTCACAGCGTTGCACAAGGTGTTTACCTGGTAAATAATGGACATTAAAAAGGGAGTTACAACCAGGATGAATTGTGGGTTTGGTCATTCTTTGAGGTCTGGATCTGAACTTTCTACTTCATCCCTATCCTCAGTACCCAAAGCACACACACAAAAGCCTCTTTACCTCCTTTGGAGCATCAGCTTGTATAAAGTCAGAATAAATCTTCTGGGCTTTCAACGCAATCTTAGTGGAGGATTTGGTTTTCTTGAAGTCTTCACAGGCTAGCCAGAACTCCACATTCTCCTCACTGAACTCAGACTTCAAAAATGTCCGAAAAGCTGCCAGGCCCTCTGGGGGAAATGCATCAGATAGTGGATGGAGGAAAACTGAAAGGCCAGTGCAATTTATGTGTGTGCATACTCACATGTGTGTGTGTGTACATATATATATATTTTTTTTATTTTTACAGAATGTGTATAGTGCAACCTATGTATCTGCCACTCTTTTACATGTCAGCCAGCAATCAGGTTTGAGAAGCCACTGCAGGGGAAATAAATAGGAGATTAAATTACAGTGCTGATAAGGGGACTACTAAGAGAGTTTTTCAGTGAGCTGCCAACCAAGGATTGCTCCCAACAGCTGCCTTCTGTGGTTTGGTCTCTTTAGCACTGGTACATTTGTTAAAAGGGGATCCTAGAGGTTTTGGTTTCAAAAGGCTTTGTAGTGGCTTGGAAATCAGAGATTTGAGGCTGACTCCTCGGCTGAGAAGCAAATAGAAATGTAGGTCACACTGTGCTAGTGTGCTTCCCCCACAGCTGAGGTTCCCTGCCCAAATGGGGCTTCCATCTCCTTGCAAGGAAAGATTAAGACCTGGATAAAAGATGGATTCCTTGTTACTTTTGTTACTTCTGTGTTCCTCTTTTTTTCTTTTTTTTTTCTTTTTTCTTTTTTTTTTCACTTTGAAGGGGAAAAAATGAAACAAATAAAGGTTTGTTTGGAATAAATTATTTTAAAATTAATCCAAATAAAAACCTCTGAGTAAAGAAAGCTGACAGTACCCAAATTTAGTTGTATTTGTCAAGTTAATGCTATCCAGGAACAGGGTGGAGGCATCCTAAGGTCCAGGCCACAATATTACTGCGAGGAAATGGGGCAGGGGCAAGGAAATTTCCAAGTTGCATGTGGTTTGTGGTGTCAGGTCTGTAGAAATGGCATTTCTAGGAGAAGTGACTTTAGATATGTCATTTTTTGTTTGACTGGAAGTCACTGCACAATGCACATATTTCTCAGGAAACGTTTGTGGGTTTTTGTGAAAATAATTATTAAAAATGAAACCTCTGCAAGGGGAATTTAACAGTCACTTTAATAAAAACTATTTCATAGCATTTCTGCCTGCCCTTGAGCACTGGACAGAAGGTATGCTGTGTCTGCAGATTGGACAAACCTCTCAGGACAGCAGCTCTCCCACCTCCATCAGCACCTCTGGTCAGTTCAGTGCATGTGGGGAGCTGAATGGAGAGCAGAGTGAAAACCTGGCAGGAATGTTTGGTGAATGGGATGACAAATGTTTTAAGAATACATCTGCTTTTCCATCCCTTCTTACCTTTATTGGACAGTACTGTATCCACAGACTCAGACCATGCCATGGTTTCCCCAGCGTTTGACCTGTGGAAACAACATCTGCCCTTGAAAATAGCATTGTGGTCTCTGCCCTGTGCAGCCTGGGGTGGCTGAGAGCCTGTGGTGTGTTTGGCTGCTGGGGAGAGGGGCTCAGCCACTCCTCCCACCCTACACACAGCAAAACAGGGATACTGGCACTGCTTACTTGACTATTCACCCTGGAAATACTCATAATGCTTGCAGCTGGTGGAGCTCTAACAAAGCACAGGAGAGGTAGGAATGTTCTAGAGAGCGCACTGAATTTCTTCTCGAGTTCAAAAGGATTAGGAATTCATTTATATGGCATTTTTTGCTTATAATGACAGGAATTATCTAAAAATATTACCAAGCTAACACTAATAGGAAACATGGGCCTCATATGTGCTTCTAGGGGGCATAAATAATTGAGTAAATTCACAGCTTTGACTCTTCCCCTGCAACTTGCTGTAGGCTTCTGCTAGACATGAGGGTAAACACTTTCTTTGGTATAAAATATTGCCAGTTTTCTTAAAACAAAAACAAATCCTACCAAAAAAACCCAACCAATCAAAAAAAAAAAAAAAAAAAAACAACTTAGCATTAAAAACAATCACAAGCACTCTCAAGTTCTGTAAAAAACATTTGATGTTCCTAAGGGGGCTCTGAGAGCTCAGCTATCAAAACCCTGCTCTCTGAATTATAGAGATTGGTTTGAGAGCTGTGTTCCACAGCCACTTCTCAGCATCATCAGTAATGGTATTTTCTAATTGCAAATTTATAAAAAGATCATATAATAGTGTCAGGATACTATATGGCTGTAGTTATAATTATTACAAGGGATGGTGACAGTGACACCTTAAACAAGCAAGCTTTTTTGTAGCTCTCCACTTACTTGTATCCAGAGCGCAAAAATTATATTTAAGCAAGCAAAAAAAGTGCATATTTATAAGTATATATAAAGACATACATGAGGGAAGCTGGAGTGCAAATATAGAAAGTCTGTGAAAACACAAATGAAAACCAAACATAGCATTATGTTGTATTTTGTGAGACATCATGTGGTGATGGCATTAATCAGCAGAGAATTTGTTTTAGAACAATAAGAAACTTTTATCAAATATATGATAAATTTTCAGGATTTTTATTAAATGTTTACTAGCTTTCTTGTCAAGCAAAAAAGCAAAATGAAAGACCAGGATAAACCAAACAGTTTTGCTTCTTGTTCTTATGGGTAATATTAGTTGTTTTAATATTTACTCACCAGTCAGAATGATCTCACTGACTGTGTGGGATTTACTTGAATGGAAATGGCAAGCAGAATTGACAACAAGGAATCAGAACAGTCATACCCTCTTCAAAGGGTGAAGGAAAATAAAGTTGTACAGATTATTCAAACTTGGTCATCCCATCACATAAATCTCCTACTGTTAAAATAGCCATAAACAGCAACTCACTTCACTGGCATTTTTCGTTCCACTGTTTGTCTGTCTGACTGTCTCAGGGAAGGCAGAGTTTCGTTTTCTGACTTCAAGAAAACGATCTTGAAGCTGAAGGTGCTGCAGGAACAACACAGTTAGCATGTGAATAACCAAACAGGACAATGCACACTGACAAACCTTCTCAACGTTTCCTTTAAAACTATTTCTTTCAGAAATGTGGCCTGTTTTTAAGCAGCGCCACTCTCACCTAATAGTGGCCATCATACAAAAGGAATGGGGGCAATGGCAGCACTGTCCTTCACTCTCCTGAACAAGCAGGCTTACTGATTGATTTCTTGCCTCCCTCCAAATCTTGTCCTGAGGCCAAATCCTTTACTCAGATTACCCAGATTCCTGGTTCTCAATGTCTCCACTTGGCATAAACTTCCAGTGGTTCAGGAACTGGGATCCCAGCTCTCCCAACTTGCAGACTTAGGGATTTTTGTCTTCTCAATTAAAATATTTTTAGCACCTAAAACATATTTTTCACCAGAGCAGCCTTAGGAGTTTAAGTCTCATTTGATTTTCCTCTGTGGTACAATCATGAGCAAAGCTGACTCCTGCCTGCATGAGAACATCTTTCTTATTTTAGCCATGTTCATCTTCTCAGAGCAGAAAGAAAAACACAAGCACCACATGCCATGTTTCACCCTTAGCAATGTTAAGAGGTTATTCCTTATCCTTATCCTTTATAGATCTGTAAAAGAAGTTTCAGGCCAATCTATTTTACTAACTTCACATGGGACAAAAACCAGTGAATCTGGTCAATTGTGCTCCAGGAAGATGAAATCAGGTGGAAACAGATATGGAGAGGTGGGACAAGCAGGAGAATTGACCTGTCTTGCAGGAGAAGAATGAAAGATCAGTTTGTCTCTTAAGATGAAAGAAGAGAGGAGCTATGATTGCCCTCTGAATACAGAGAGGTAACCTGGTGAGAAAAAAAAATTTATTTTAGTATTATGGTTATATTGACAAAAGAAAAAATGTATAGAAGCAGTTAGTGAACAAATTCAGACTGAAAACCAGAATAAGGCTTCACAAACTGTTGTTTTTTGCACTCTCCCTTTCTACTCTTCTGTACTTTGAAGATAGAGCTTCATATAATTATAAGATTATTTTAAATTCTTGTCTTCATTAATAGAACACTAGAAATTATGACCTAAGATGCCCTTTAGTCCCACATATTACTAAAAATATTCTTGGCAGCAAAATACTAATACTTTCTGTAATCCCTTAGCTTTGCATCTGCTTGCTTCTAAACATTATAGCAGAAGAACAGAAATGTTAATTGGTCGTTTTTTCTTATTTAGAGAATATCTTGTGTGCCAGAGAGGACCAAAAGCCTTTCATACATTGTGCTCATGAGACTAACTTCAGCATCTCACAGCAGGGGAGAAAACTTTTAGCACCTGCACTGACATCAAGTCCTTTGTGCCTGATTCAGTCCCAGGTTTTAGCTTTGGCAAAAGGAAATAAGCATCATACAAAATCCAGCTGATATTTATCTGTGGAGCTTCTGGCCAGGCAGAGCATAAACGGCTACAATTTGAAATTTTTAACAGTGTCATGCCAGAAGAGTCAGTCCAGTCCAGTTGTGTGGACAGAGGTGACATAAAATTAGGCAACTCATAATTTATGGCTGGCTCTGTTAATTTCTCAGCATTTACCTGTGTCTAATCCCAGTGGTTCTTCTATTTACCCACCTCAGGACTGTGACGATAAATCGATAAATTGATTTATTTTTGCTTTTTTAAAAGTGGTATTAACATTGTTATATCATTATTCCATAAACTCCTGTGAAACTATGAGAGGGAAGGTTGAGGACCCGTGCCTATTTTTAATTAAAATCATCAGATAATATACATTTATTTCAAAACAAAATTCCAGATAGTGCCACACATGCATTTTTAAAATTTCTACCTGATAGCCTGGTATCTGAAAGAAGCAGACGAACATCTCTTCAAGATTTTTCAGGACTGATGGATATTTTTGAAGTCAGTCTTAGCAGCCACAGAACCATGCTAAAACTCAGGAATATTTTACACACACAACAAATGGATGGATGCAGTCAGATTGCTTTTGCATCTAATGGGGTACTGCTCAAATCCACAAAACCACAAAGAAGCTGTGAGGAACTCTCATCACTGTACAACATTCTGAGCAGTCAGTGACTGCTTAGTCTATGCAAGCTGAAAATATTTTAGGTATGCAACAGGTTAATAGAATTGTTGTGATATTTGTACTGGGGCAATGAAAATAAGTTCACTAACCAAAGTTAGGCACAGCCACTTCTTCCCATAGAAACCAGCTGGTTGTATTTCTCTGTACTTCCTCTCCTTGGAACTTAGTGTCTGGAAGGAAACTCTAATATTTCACTGAAATGTCATAGGAGAAAAAGTGATCTTAGTATTAATATAAATGCATCAGCTGCTTGTGCAAATGTGTTGGCTACTCATAATAAACAGCATCAAGCAAACAAGATGAAATACGTAGTAGAGATGGGCTGGAAATTGCACATAGAATTAGTGCTATACCTTCTGTGAATCTGGACCCAGCTGACACTGCTGGACCCAGCTGACACACACAGTTACAGCTGCAGTTCGGTCCTAGCTGGGACTGGACCTCCAGAGTCACTCAGACCCTTACTTGCTTGGCTAATTGCGGGATATTTTTCTCTTTATCTGTCAGCCTGTGGCTTAACCTTCTGGTAACTCTGAGAACTGGGCTATGGATTTCTGAGTCCTCTGCCTTTGATGACATGGGAGAGCTGAAACTCTAGGAAAGGGAATATGGATCTGATTTGATGTTCCCAACTTTGCCAATATTACTTGCTAAGGACCCCACGTTTATTAAATATTTAAATCCTTAGAACTGTTAGGCTCACAGCTTGACTTTTACTGATGCTCACCTTTTGTTCTTTAACTGTCTTTAGTTTTGCCAAATTATCTTCCTTTATGAAAAGCTATTGGCTGTTGCGGGCCATAAGACCTGTCATTTTTGTTCATCTGACTAATCACAATAGACAATCTAAATCAATGTTACATATTCAAACCATTGCTTTATTAACCTAAGTAATCCATTTCCATTTACATATGTTCCTGAAAGGGCTGCCTTGTACTCACCTGAGCACAAAGTGAGAAAAGCTCACACTCTCCAATGGATGTGCTGATGTTTCCCAGAAGTTTAGTGTGTTAATGCTCCTCAGCACTTGGCCTCTGTTAATTCCATTCCATTCCATGCAGAGATTTGCTTGGATAGTGCTGGCTTGTACAAGGTAACCTCAGCAGAAAAAAAAAAATTAATGTTCTGCTGCCCCAAGCAGTCGAAGCCCATGGGGACTTGGGTGCATCCCTTATGTTGGGAGAAGCAAACGTGATCCAAGCACTTCTGGCATCCTAAGAACATGGAAATGCCTGTCCCACAGGGATGCAAATACACCTTAATCAGAATACTATGTAAATGCCCAGCTTCCCACAGCACTGCACAGCATGGGCAACTCACAAAATAATTGATATTTTTCCATGTGAATAACTCTGTGTGCCTTCAGTATGCCACAGAGTTGTTTTGCATAAGAAAATGAGCTGTTATTTTCCACCCAAGCAAACTATGCCCTTCAGGTGAAATGTTTTGATTTCAAGAACAAGCTGTCAAAATATTTTACAGCGCTCTGGGCTCCTCATATTCACGATTTCCAAGTGCTGTACAACCACAAACCTCCACTGGAAAAGAACTGGAAACAATTCTCAAGAAAATGTACAACCAGGAAAAACTGGAATAGCATTAGCTGCAGAAATTTAAAATGAGGCCACTAAGCTGTGAAGAAACAAGAGTGTCTTCATTACAAGCAAATTTTATGGTGAAGAAATGAGAGTTCAGAGTCGTCCTTTTTTTAGGCTTCAGCCTTATCTTCTGTCCTACTTGAAAACTGTCAAATGACTGCTGTAGGATTGTGTTTCTTGCTAGTTAATTTTAGTTACCCTTCATGGAGAAGGCAATGGTAGAGGCTAGATTGTAAATCTGGGAGTCCAGATAATTTCCTGTAAAGTATAAGGGAGAATTAGGAGGAGGTCACACAAACAGATTATATTTAGGAAAGAAGAGAGAAATTCACTCCTTTGGTATGAAACCAGAAGGAGCTTTTATGAGACCAGCTCTAAGTGATAAGAGCACAACAAATGGAAGATAGCAACACATTAACAAGGAGAAAAGTAAAAATGGAAGCAAGCTCAGGTGGTGGATAGAGGAAATAATTTTTTTTCTTTGGCACAGAGCCACACAGGAGCTTAAAGTGCATTTGATTGAGGCATTTGACTAAAATGCAAAGAACAGAGTGGGATCTGGGATAGGCAACTGAGCAAGGTGTAAGTTCATGAGCATATGAATCACTGATGAGAGGAAGATGATTTTCTGCAATTTTTTTCTCAGCTGATATCTTTGGCAGCATGTGTGGAAAGGAGAGGGAACTGCATTCAAAGCAGTAGCTATTTAAGGCAGGCTGAGCAGCTGGGGACAAAAGGAGAGGAAAATGATCTGCTGTTTGTGAGTCACTTAAAAGTTGTAGCATGTAAAAGCATGTAAGAGCTGTGTTATTGGTTGCCTACTTCACTGGGAAATGGAAATCGGTCTTCTGTGAGATTCTTTATCTTAGATTTCATTCTTGTTTTTGTCAGTTGAAAAATCAGTCAAGTTGTCTTTTGTTCAGTAACAAATCCACAACCGGAAGAAGATATTTGGTCCTGTGTATTTCTGCCTCCCTCAAATTAAACAAAAACTGCACCTTCAGCCTATTTAAAGCATCTAATTACACTGAAGTGTTGAAACAGGAGAAAAACCTTCGTGCCACACAAGTCAGCAGGTTGCTTCCCTCATGCTTTGTGTCTCGAGACTTCACCTATGTAAGGAGTAAAGTGCAGTGTTTGGGTAGGGTAAATTATCGTGTTGACAGGAGGAATATTTTGGGAGCTCTTGCTGAACCCTGAATGGTACATATAAATATAAAAAGCTGCTATATAAAACAATCTCCAATAGTAGTACTTGCCCAACAGGCTTAGTATATGTATTATTTGCATTAGGGCGGCTCAACAAGAGGATTTACATAACTGTGACATAGATTCTGCCAAAACTAGAGAAGCCTGACTGTGTTCTCTGGTACTATCCAGAGATTTGTGCTGTAAATACATGTGTGCAGGGCCAGTCCTGAGTCTGATCAATCCTGAAACAGCATCACAGACTTGTACTAAATCCATACCTAGTTCATCTTCAGGACTGCAGCACAGCACTAAATATTAGAATGCTCATTTTCCTCCACTAAAAGGAGCCTCTTCTAGAAAAAAAACCCATTGCCAGATAATTATTTCATTTTGGTTTATCTTTGTGTCCTTTGCCTTCCTTTCTCTGAGTTTATCTTGACTTTCTTTTTACAGTAGTTCCCATGGCACTAGTCTGCTGTAAATTCAGCTAGGGTTCATAATTATCTTTGGAAAACACACATGCATAAACAGCTACCAGGAATATCTTATTTGTTTGTTTTCATTATAAAACTCATAAGAGGGCCTCGCACTGTCAGTACCGCAGACTGATGGGTTTGAGGAAGACCTGCCTGGAGATAAGCAAAATTTTCCATGTGTCTATGAAACGAAATAACTGCTGACTTCTATTTATCATTGCAGACCCTTCTGACTAGCAGCTGGGATTTTGCCAACATGAAAATGTCTTACTCAGGGTACTATATTTGTAATTTGGTGGGATTTTGGAACAGTATTAAATATATGTACTTTTTTCATTAGTTTCCTTCATGGCAATCCATCCAAGATATGGATTCTCCACTGATATGAAGGGACATAATCACACTAGGGCAGAATTTAGCTGCAAGTGTGCAGGTTTTATGTCTGTGTGGCAACAAGGCCAGTGCCAGCACCAGGTGGGGCTGTTCTCAAATCTCTTCCTCCAACACAGATATTTTAAATATCTGAGAACTGGCATTCAGACATTGTTGGTGATACTAGAGACTCCCTGTGAGAGTCTGTCTGAATTTCCCTCATCTGCCTCATGATTGTCATTGGAGGACCACTGAAGAGAAGACTCCCCCCTGTCTAGAATCTCTGGCTCTGAAGGAGAAAGTCACACGCGAAAGGCCCTGAGACCTGAAAGCTCAGTGTTAAGCTATTTGTTTTCACAGGTGTGTTTGCTGTATGCTAAGAAGGGGGCACCGTGCCCTTTTTGCAACAATGGCTTTGGAAGCTCTTCACCTCTTGGCCTGGCTGGACTTCTCCTGAGTTCTGGGTGGTCTCCCACAGAAGGCCCTCACCTGTTTTACAACCACCGTGACAGACAGACTGAGATGTCAGGAGCCTCTCCACCAAGGACTGAGACATGGAACCCCCATGTGAAAAGGCCGCTCTGCTCCTTCCAAGGACTGGGACTGAAAGCCCCAGCCCAGGGCAGGTGTGTGGGGAGGCAAGCTGACCAAAGTGAGATGTTTGCCTACAGGTTGTGACCACTGGAGCAAGAAAACAATGGCTCTTGTTTACTGCTGAGAACATAGACTACCTGTTACATCTATTCCTTATTGTATATGTTTCCCCTCCCCCTCACAATTTTCAGTAATAGAAACCTCTGAGTTAGCTAGAGATTTTGCGATCTCCCCAGCGTAACAGGTCCTCGACTGGACTGCACCAAAGGGCTTCGTCTCTGCATTGGTAGCTATATCCCCCTTTTTCTTTCTTCTTCTCTTTCTTTGTCTTTCTCTCTCCCTTAATCCCTCTATTGCATTTTTGCTGTGGTTATTTCAATAAAACTGCATTTGTTTTGATTATCACTGCAAACCCCCTTGTACCGTGTCGGTTCTTTTGCACCTTGAGACACCCCTACGAACCATCAGGTCATCTGTACACTAGGACGGATCCTGACACTCCCTCATCACAGAATCCCCAAGGCTGGAAGAGACCTTGGAGATCTAATCCAAACATTAACCTTCCCCAGCCACAGTCAGCCCTAAGCTGTAGCCCCAAGCACCACAGCCAGAGGCCTCTTGAATTCTTCCAGAGACTGTGACCCCTCCGCCTCCCTGGGCAGCTCATCCCAATGCCTAACTATTCTTTAGTGAATAAACCCTTCAGCCAGGTCCTGGCTGCTTTCATTGTCAGAAAGAGCCTATGCCTGGTGTTTTGAGATCAGGGGAGGGTGATGAATAAACCAGCATAGATAATCATTACAAATGTGTTTCCTCTCTGTTCCCCAGGTAAAGGTAGGAGCTTGGAGATGGTTCCTGGGTCACTGTGGCTCAGCAGCATTTCCACATGAGTTTGGATCTCTGTGCACAGTAACAATTTGTTTATTGTGGCAGTGATTACAGCTAGAGTTGAACCTAGGTGAAGTCTTCACATCTTCCTCATCAATGTACTGATGATAAATCAAATCCTGGCAACTCTTTAAGTAGATCTGATTTATTGGAAGTTAATAAAGCAGACAGGGAAACCTACAGATCCAGAAGCTCTTATACACACCAAATTAACAATGAACACAAAGTCCCATCCTCAGGAACTGCATCTCTTCTCCTTCACCATTTACAGAAAGGGGAGGGAAAGGGAGAAAGCTTAAATTACACAAGAAACAAGGTAATATACAAGTCATAGTTACAGATAAATCCTGCAGCCCCTTCCTAAACTGAACCAATGTTTAAGATTTTAAGAACTGCCCCAAGCTTCAAGGTATGTCTGCATCAACTGTGAAAGTAAAGGACAGACTGAATGTGTGCGCTGACTATAAAAAAAAAAATGTCTGTCTTTGATAGTAAAGAAATAAAAAAGAAGATTTCTCCTTCCCCTTCTATGACCTATAGAGAGGATATTAATGTCCAATGGAACTGAAAGTTGCCCTGCCCGAGTCCAAGAGCTGTAGTAACAAAGTTGGTATACCACGACTATTTATAAATAAAAGTAGAAATATTTTGTATTTATATACATAGACATCAGCTGGTATTTAAGAATACACATTGTGTTAAAATAGCATTCTTGTCCCCTTGCTGCTGCTCATTTAGTTGCAAAAAATTAGAATACATGCATTTGATGCCAAAGCTAATATATACATCATAACTTAAAAATAGACAACAGACATGTGGAATAAGAAAAATGTAACCTAAAAAATTAAATAGGTATTTTTACGTTCCTCTTAAAATAGGCAATGGCCACATTTTAATTATAGATTTAATTATGCAGTGTCTTTAGTTAAAATAAATGTAAATTGGCATTATACCTTATAATGTTCCTGTGTGTTTTACAGTATCAGAAAATACCACAAATTCTCTGTGCTTAGTGTAGGAAATATTGCAAAAACACAAATGTGTGCAAAGACTGGATACAGATATTCTAACTGTGATGAAACTCTGGCATAAAGGTACAGGTCCAGGATACGTGTTTGGTAATATCAAATGGGACTACATGAGAAATTTTTAAGCAGGAAAATCAAAATTTTCCCCCAAATCTGATCACAGCCTTTGCTGTGAGTTTAAAACAAAAATTCCTATATGAAAACTCCACATATTATGACTTGCCAATACATCACCTACTTTTCTATGAAAGTGAGATTCTGCTCCAGAACTCTGATGTGCTATAAGTGAATTTTCTTTTGCTTCACCACTTAGTTACACCCGCTGAGGGTTTGGGGTTTAAAACACACCCGGGTTGCTGCAGGAGCTGGGGGTGAGGAGGGCCGAGCTGGGACAGGGACACATGGGGACACGGGGGATGAGGAGGGCTGAGCTGGGTTGTCACCACACGGGACTGAGGAGGGCTGAGCTGGGCTGTCACCACACGGTGAGGTCCGGCCGCACGCCCTGGAAGTCGCTGACGGTGAAGGAGCGGGAGCGGCGGCGGAGCGGGGCGCGGGCCGCGGGCCGGCCCTGCAGCAGGCCCCGGTAGGCGGCGGAGCGCAGGAAGCGCGGGTAGCTGTCCTGCTCCATCAGCCGGTACACCGTGCTCTGCGCCGCGTCGAAGGTGCTGCGCAGGGGTTGCCGAATGCTCTGGCTTGTGACTTCCTTGGTGTGAAAGTCCAGATTCACCTGGAGGACGAGGAAAAGGGTATTTAATGTACATTCATGCGTATCCAGTGTTATTATCTATAGCACTGATTCTGTACACCAGGAAAAGACTTTTCTGATAAGAGTGAAGCCTTAAGTTTGAGCCTTCATATTTTCCAGATTCTGTACTGCATTAGTTTATAACTCTGAACTTGTTATAAAGTGTTAGCAAGTTCTCTCCACAGCTTAGTTAGACAAAACTATCCTTTTCCAGCCCCAGGACCAAGGGCACCGCTGCAGCTTCAGGCCCAAAAAGTGCAAACAACAGGGAATGGAGGAGAGCAAACTGGGAGGATGGGACTGCATCACCTGGAGCTGGAATTGGAAAATTAACCCCAAGATGGAAAAGGACCAAAACATAAAAGTGTGAAAACTTGTGTCTTGTCGTCCATATTGGGTGTAGCCGCAGCTGGATCTTGTACTGCCCAAGGTGTATCCTGTGAAGGCCTTTAATAAATCTCTATTTTATTCCTTTAACTCTGCCCAGCCTCTATTCTAGTAGCCTCTCAAGGCATGAGGAGGACCTTGAATCCCCCATACAACAGGATATTAACAGCACAGAATTAGTGTGTTTGCCTTCAGTGGTGGCTCTCAGAAAGTCTCCACAAATCCCATTGTATTCCATTGTACCATGGAAAATTGGGGAAACAGAAGAAAAACTCTGATATTTGACTAAAAGTAATTTTCTAAGAGTGAACACTGTATAGTCACAAGTTCCCAGCTTTGCAATACCAGACTATTACAGATCTCTTCTGCTCTCATGTAGGATTAAAGTAGAACTTGTTCTAATAAGATGACATTAGTGAATAGTTTAAATTTCTGGTTTCTGTGTACTTTCTGTAGTAGGAAGATGAAAAAATTCTAATTGTTTTTAATTTAAATGGGTCTCTGGAGGCCTTAGATTGGGGAAGTATCAAAATTACTATTTACTCCATGTGCTGCTGTATTCACCCTGGGAAATGCTTAATAGTATAAGAATTTTAATGAAGTGACAGGCACTGGTTCAAGCATGTTATTTTGAAAAATAAGGTGGAATATATTTTAAAATTTGTTGACCCAATCAAAAAGTGACTTCTATAATGTTTTTCTTTTCCTCCCTGAGAGGCGCCTGTCATTTCCATACAACTAGTTGGAACAAATAGTCTAGATCTAAGAGCTGAAGGGCAATTAGTGATCAGAGAAGGGTCCACTCATCCAAAATTTTATGATCCCATCAAACTGTAGGCTTAGAACTTGTGTAAAAGAGTTCTGCTGGACAAGGAATCAGAGGAGATGTGCAAGCTGCAGAGCTACGTGGTCTCAGCTGAGCCCAAGGGAGGAAGTCACACCAAAGCCAAGTGACCAAGGTGAACCACAGCACCCACCCTGCCTGCACCAAACTCAAGAATGGCAGAGAGAGAAATTGTTATGTTACTATGACTTCCCTGCCCTGTCCTCTCCTCAGCTTTCTCCTGCTCATCTCTTTGCTTCAATCAGTCTCAAGCATTGACAGTGTCAGCACTTGTTACCTGTCCAGGGCTGCTTCTCCCCAAAGGCACACAGCAGGGAAAGGAATGGAAAGGGACATAAGTCCTTGAAAGTAGGCATTTCCTAGGAAAAGCAGATCTGAATCCTAATGCAATCTATGGGAATTGCAGATGGAAACTGCACTGCTTTGCAATCTTTTCACTAAAACGAGAATTAGACCTTTTTCACCCTCATTACAAGGAAGCAGAAGTTAGTGTTTAACTTCTCCTATTCTGGCAAATAAAAAAATACAGCTATTGATCTACTCAAATGGGATAGAATTAAAGGTAAATGTAAGTCAAAAAGACCTATTCAAGAGGCTGCTTATGATTTCACTGAAATTTGATGATCTCCCAACCTGTTCTTCTCCTTTTTAGGGCAGGCAAAAAATTATTTCTTTTGTTCATTTATGAACCCTTCATAAACTTCAGTAAAATGAATAAGTTGGAAATGTGAAAACTTTTCATTCTTAGGATATTAAGAAAAGGCCTTAGCACTGGTGAGGATTGTCATATCAACATCGTTTTGAGCTGACAGTAACACACCAGGGGTATACAATTGGAGGTGGAGGGGTGGAAAAGGGAGAGGGAGTCAATCAAGACATGTCCATGCTCCTTCCAGAGTTGACTTTTATGAAAGTCTTCTTATATCAGGAGACTTCAGGATTAGCTCTTGAAGCTGCTTCTGGGCATGCACTTCTCAAAAGAAAGTTTCACCAGATGCAGTTGTGTCAATCAAACACTATGTATAATGAGAAAGGTCTTTACCTCTTTTGGAGCATCTTTCTGTATGAATGTTTCAAAAATGGTCTTGGCTTTTGGCAGAAGATCATGTGCGCTTTTGCTTTTCTTGTAATCCTCACAGGCTATCCAGAATTCGATGTTCTCCTCACTGAACTCAGTTTTCAGAAACTTTGTGAAGGCATCCAGCCCAGCTACAAAAGCGAAAGTTGAATTGCATTAAAAAAATCTATCCTTATCAGACAGTTACTCTTTCAAAGAGTCTGTACAATGTAGTAAAATATGTTTTGCTCCCTTGGAATAATACCACATTAGAGATAATTATCCTAGAATACATAAAGGCTGTAAATAAGAGCAGTTTCTCCATTGTGATCCTGTAACTCTCCTTACAGAATTCTCAGCATCAGTAAAAAAATGCTACCAAGATCTCATAAATTTAGAAAAAAAAACATTAAGCAAAACCTATGGGAGTATGTGGAAGTGGTGGACTTTATTCCAGCTGAATATCAATTCAGTTTGATCAAAAATCTATTTGAATCTTTGCTCATAAGTAAACTACTCTTCAGCAGCAATTTAAAATGGATGGCTTTCAGCATCTCTGTAATTGGTTTTATCCTGCTGTTGTTATACTGAGGATATTTTCTTTGCCAAACATGCTTCATCTGTGGAAGTAATGCAATTGTGTGGATGTGAACTGTTCAAGGAACAGATTTGAAAAGCCCACAGTGTCCAGCACTGTAGCTGAAACATGTGCCCCTCCAAAATGAAGGCAGGAACATATGTGCATTTGATAATTATGGGAGCAGCAGGGCCTCTCAGTGATGGCCAGCTTGGATCTATTCACTGGCTTATAAATAAACTGTCAGGAGTGACAAAGTCTTAACTACATGGAGCATATGCAGTTAGGAATATTTGAGCAATATTATGGTTAAATGTTCCTGTTTACTGAAGGGACTCTTTGCTGTTTGCTGTATTACTTTGTTCAATAAAACACCAAACACAAAAATTATTTTAAACTATTTTCACAAGTTGACAGCAAACTCTGGCTGAAGAAGACAAGAAGAGCAGGAAACACACGCTGCCATAAATGACCCATCATAGTTTAGGTAACTGGCATGTCTATTCAAGGGCATAACTGGATTTTATGATTTTCCATCCTTTACCATCAATTTTCCATCCTAACAGTCTGCATGGAGAGACAAAAAACTACTGACCTTTCTCAGAAAGTAGTTTGTCAAAAGACTCTCCCCATTTCACTGCTTCTTCAGGAGACACACTGCTAAGAAACAGAAAAGAGTTAGAATAATTGTTCACACTGTGCATTTAGGAAGCTGTGTAACACACATTATCTGTCACCATTGTGGCTCAGGACTGTTCCACAGAGCCTTTGATTAGATCACCTCACTAAGGGAGATCATTCTCTAAGGGGCATCAGGAACATTTCCTTTAACTCTCTCTTGACATTTTTTCCTGCAGAGTTATATTTCTTTTCTCTTTTTATAAAAACATCAGAGCAGAGGCTTTTCACTGTGGTATTTGTGTTGTCCTACAAATCTTTAAGGCAATTGAGACCATGTAGGATAGTGAAAGTCATAAAGGAAGCAGGTCTTGTCAGCTATTTAAACTTGAGATAGTCATGCAGAGATGTAGTTTTGAATATGCTCACTCTGAGGCTGCTTTTTTACCACAGTCTGCTTTTTAAATGAAATATACAGAATTCTGTAGCCTGAAGAAAAAACTGTGGCAATATGGTTTAGGTGTCCGTTTTACAGGGCAATAGCATGTGTAGTCTGGTTTGTTTACCACAAACATTTCAAATGCCATGTTATTCTGAGACACTGTGCCTCATTTATAAAACTCCTCATGTTCTTCATCAAGTATGTCAAGTGGCACGTGTTTCCCGTCAATTTTGAAAAGTCTGCCCTATGTAACAGCAAAGAAAGGGAAAAAAGAAGCAATTTTTATCAGTTGCTTTGTGGATGTGCATGTTTGGAACCATTTTCATTCCAGGACAAATCACAGGACACTGAAAGTATCAGTAAGTGACTGGTCTGGGATTAGTTGATCAAATCAACTTATGGACCAAGCGTTTCTGGAACAGGATCCCACTTCCTCATCAAGGCTTGCGGTTCTGTTTCCTGATTTACACAGTTTGGGCCCCCTTGGCAGGGAGGAGGCACGTGAAGTTTAGATGAAAGGAAATTCCAATCTCTTTGGTAAGGAATTTAAGCCAATAATGACTCTGGGTTTGCACAAAACGTGAAAGGAGGCGTTTTGGTTTGGTTTTTAAAATTTTAATAGGTATCACATGTTTCGTAGCTGAAGTAATTTCTTGCTGGAATGAAAATTTTAACTAGAGAGAAGAAAAGAGTTCATGAGGAGAAATTCGGGAAAGCAGAAGAATTCTGGAGTCAGGGAAACGAGACCTCACTCCCTTACAGCATTTATTAGTTATGAGAATTACAGAAAGTACCATGAACTCTGCCAGCTGCAGGTTCCTGTCCCTACAGAAATTATTTTGGCCATAGTGAAAGATAGAGCCTTATGTCTTTAGACCACATACTCAGTTGACAAAGGCATGAAATACTGGAGAGGATCTTTGTGGGTTTGGAAACTCCTCCTGTGAGTTTCTGGTTTTCCTTCAGCATCTGCAACAACCTGGGAGCCTCACAGAACCCCAACACCTGAGTGCAGCAGTGAGCTTGCAATAATAAACAGAAACCAAGATTTGTTCAACTTTGCTGCCTTCTAAATATGAGAAGAAACTAATTTAAACAAATGAATAGACATTTAAACTAAAACCAAAGTTTTAAATGAACGAATTAACTTTTCTACTATCACCTCAATTTCCACCTGCAGTGTTTTATTTAAATCTCTTTCTATTTATTTTAGTAATTCTGTGTGAAAAATGGAAATTATAAAATCTAAGTAAATCACTTAATAAATTTCAAACTATTATCTCACATTATTATTTGAAAAAGAGTAAATTTGTTTGGTTGGTTTTTTCCCATTTTTTGACAAATATAATTGTCACTTTAATCCAAATATAAGACCAGCAAAAATCTACAAGTTTCTCTTTCATACAAGAACAGTCAAATCTCTGTTAGTCAGGCACCAGCAGAGAGTAACATGGTAAAAGACAGCTGGCTGAAGGAGGAAATGATGTTGAAAGAGGGAAATTCTTCAGAGAATTGTTACCGCTCTGAAAGTGCCAGTCTGGCAGATGGTAAGAATGCAGTGAATGGTTGTACTTTGCATAAAATACCTGGGGTATGTGAGCCACACAGCACTGTCTGCCTCTATTTTCTCTTTACAGATGCAATCTTAGAATGGTTTGACACATCTGCAACCAGGACCTCTCAAAACGTGAGCAATAAACACGGTTTATTGTTTAGATACCCCCTCCCCAGCCACTTTTCCCCGGGTCCTGGAAGCAGAGTTTGGGTCCTTAGGTGACCTCTACCACGTGGTCGTTAATTAGCTCGTTAATGCATCTTTATGGTAAATACTAGGGACAATACTACCAAAGTGTAGAAATTTTGGAGACAAGAGTGTTCAACCAATTACTGCAGTTACTGAGGAACTCTGCATTCACTGTCTAAAACTGGTATTTGTGCATCACAGAAGTATTTGGAAAACCTGCTTTGCCAGGAGCTGTATGATTTTCCTGCCAGATGCATTTCTGAGTGGATTATTGCTCTGTACAGTCAGTGGACTCGTACCAAGGCTGCTGGCACAAGGTTTAAACCTCTCTGCAAATGTATGGGGACCAAGTGGTGTGAAAACACTGCTGATTACCTCGATGCATACCAGGTAATTCTGTAGTGTTTGCATGCTTGGGTTACACTGATAAATTTTCAAAGTGTTACTCTGCCCAGTCTGAATGCACACACATGGGTACAGGAAACATCCCAAGTCACACAGGTGCTTCTTGGAGGAAATCACCAACCAACCCAGTCTTTTACAATGTTTACCTTGCTGCTTTTGTCAAGTTTCCAGGTTTGCCAAGGTGATCACTTTCATGGAATTCAGGTTTCTGCAGGAGCAGGCTCAGCCTATTTCTCTTCTGCTTAGCTCTACGACAGAATTGGAGTAGCTTTTCAAGAAACTTGTAGAAAGTTGGTTTTTCCCTCTCAAGCATTCTCTGCTTCTGCATTATAGAGCTCCCTATTTTCACTTACAGTAATGTTGGTGTTACTTCTCCTACGTATATTATTCACATTAATGTTTTTTTCTTCATAGCTTAGCACATATTTTGCACTGGCAAAGAAAAATGGAAATCCTTTTATTTTCAGCATCCTTTTAATTTATTTTAAAGATGAGGGGCCAAACTTCCCATTAGACAATGTAAACAGTTGGCTCAGTATCTTCTACTTTTAATGTTTCACAAAGAAAAAAGGAAGTATTGCTTCCTGTCATTTGAAATTTTTGAAAAAAGCTTTCCCGGATCATATTCAGGCTTTAGAGAATCATTTCTCAGAATTTCTTGCAATCTCTCTTTCTTAGTATTTTTAGATCATTAATTTGGTATGTTTCTTGTCCTCAAAAAAAAAAAAAAAACCCAAGAGTTCTTTGAGATAACTCTTCTTAAAGAGTTAATATTTTACACATACAATTTCTAGGATTGTAGTTCATGAGTTCTCACATATATGTCAAAAATGAAATTAGCTGTGTCCTAAATTCACCCCCACAAACTATGCTAGAAGAATCCTCCATGTAAATAGAACACGCAGAAGGTTGGCATGACCTGAACACTTACCCAGGCTTGCTTGCCTTGTTTGGCTCTTCCTTTATCGCTGGTTTCATGACTTTGCAATAGGGTTTATCCTTTGAAGCAGAAATGTTGAGCTGGGGGAATAAAAGAAGCGGGTTCTCCATCTTCTTCTAGAGAAGCTTCTGGCTAGGTTCCCTTTGCTCCCTCGGCCCCGCTGCGTGCTGGCTCGGGCTCTCACATGCTGCAGCAGCCTGGGGTGCCCTGGCCAGCCCAGCCCTGTGTCCACAGGAGCTGGTGGCAGGAGGTGGCTCTGTACTGGGCACTGCAGCTGTGCCCACGCCGGGCTCCGAGGGCAGCTCTGGTTGTGCCCTCGTCCCTTGGGGAAGTGACACTGCAGCTCTGCAGGGCTGGCGCTACAAACCGCAGCCCAGAGCAGCAGCTGCTCCGCGCAGCTCAGCTCCCGTTCGACACCAGCCCGTGGCCCCAAACACCTGTACATGCCCCAGGCTCCTAAAATTAACCTTAATGACAGTTATGTCACGTGAAATAACATCCAGCCTTCTCTTCAGCCCCCAGAAGCGCCGTATCTGCCCTTGAGCTGCCCTCTGCAGCATCAGTGCTGTGTGCTGCACGCAGCTCCATCCACAGCACCCTGACTTCAAACTCAGAGTTTCTCAGTGTCTCCTCCAAGCTTTGGCTGGTCAATCATTTTGCAAGCAGATATTTTTTAATTTTTTTTTTTAATTTTAATTTTTGCACCGTTCTTCAGAAATTACAACCACCCACTTCTAATTTCTAGGTCATCCACTAAATGCTCCCTCTTTCACTTCTCTGTCTGTGGATTTGTGTTTACTTGCAATCTCCCACCCAGGATAGAAAATCTTTAGCTCAGAAAAAAAAAAAATCTGCATTTTTAAAATTTTTTTGTGTTACTAAATAACCCAAAACTTCTCATTTCAGTTTGCATAAAGTAAAAATAGATTAATCTTTGAGGTTCATCAGCACAAGTTATCTCTTACATACAAGTCTGATGTCAGTTAATTTTCTTGGGTTTAAATTCAGTTTCTCTTGGAGGTGTCATAAGAACAATACATCTAATAAAGAAACATCTTCAGTGTTAGCTGAATGAAGAACTGGAAAGGGTTAAAATTACTGCAGTTAATTGATTAAGAATTTAATAGTTCTCATGTTTTTAATGGCAGTGTCTCATTTTGATTTCTCAGGTAGGACATTGAGCTTCGAGGAGAAGCCATGACCTCATTACCCCCCGTAATTTTGTTGTCTTTTACTTCCATGGGTACTTCTGGTGAGAGTCCCACTGTGGCCTTTTTCGTGTGGAGCTAAGGAGAATGGGAATGGAAGAAGAAAAAGAAAAGAAATGAAAAAATCCCAACTCTGCTAGGAATCCAAATTTGTGAAACATTAAAAGAAGAATAAAATGTAATCTATCGTGATTTTTTTTTAAGAGTTAACTGAAAAACTCTCTTGTGCCACATGTGTGATACAAATTTTAAAATCAGACTGAATGGGGAACAGTGCACAACTGCCTTTTGTAACCCAAGGGACTTTACGAAGCAGGGTTACAGTTTAAACCTAATTTTCAATTTCAGAGAAGGCTTATATCATGCATATTTTAAACTGGCTTTAACCGCAATGTGTTTCATAATTTATTCTGCCTTTAACAGATAAGTAAATAAAGATAGACTGCATTATTTTATTTCACTTTTCTGCAATAGGGGTGGTCACATGTTACATGTATAAAATATTGTCCGTGCCCATCTGACATAATTTTTTTACCTGCTGATTTTAGCTCCTGGAAAATATTTGTAATTGTAGCCTCCACATCCTATCTAAGCTGATTTAAGGAAGATTTGGAGATGGAATATATAATTCAGAAGTGAATTATGAGGGGCCTCTGTGCCAGGCAGCTTCTAGATGGGGATGAGCAGCTGTGTCCCCTCTTTCAGCACCCACCAGCCATGGTCTGAAGGGCCTGTCCAACTCACTCTTCAATGACCCTACATTGGTTTTATGCCTTAGATGATTGAATTATTCCTGTACTACAGTGCAAGCAATTGTGTCAGTCCTGACTGCAGCAGTGTGCTGTGCACCTCCTGAGAATTCACTCAGAAATCTGGAGTGTGGAGAGGGGGGGATAATCACAAACAATTTTCCCCCACTCACCCACACTTCCCCCTCCCCATTAATAGAAAGCTTATACTAAATCTAGGCCATGGAGTAGCCAAATGACATCCAAGTCAGTCTGTGTTTTGTCAGCACTGCTGCTGGTGCTAATGAGCATCCCTGTTTTGAATTGTAAGCTACAGTAGTTATAGTAACAGTATTAATGACTCTGTAAATGCTTCTGGGCCATTTTGGGTGCTGCAGGATACAGGAAAACGAATAAGTTATTTTAAAACCAGATAAAGCAGACCTACAATATTATGTTGATGACATGACTAGAGATCTAGAAAGCTCTAAAAAAAGTTGTGATGAGAACTAAATGTCCTGTTTCCCAGCCATTTCTCTAACCACTGAAATATATTCACAAATCTGTTGGGAAGGAGGCTCTGATTTTTAAGCCCTCAAATCAAGATTCTAAAATATGAGAACAATATTGAGTTAATGTTCTGTTACTTGCAGAAATTCTTTTTTCAATGGCTGGATGAATACTAAATGTATTTTCATAGCAATCTTCACGTGACACAAAAGTAAAATTGAATAGAGCATAAAGTGCAGGATGATGAGGTCATGTCCTGATCCTTTGGGCCCTCCTGTTCTTTGGCTGAAAAGTGTCTGTGCTGGCTTCTGTTGGTGTTTGATAAGGTCTTGTCACAGCTGATGATCAGGTCATGCTTGATTTGTATAGACACAGTAGCTGCCCACTGTGAAAGAAATATTGACTGACAGTGTTAACAACAAGGCCATTGTATTGTACACTTAGAATGTAATGTTTCCTTTTTACAGGGAGTCTCTGAGAGATTCAGGCTTTCAGTCCAGCTGAATAGAAGTGCAGCCCCAGCTGAGCAGTTCAGCTCAGCACAAAGAGCTGGAGCACAATGGGAAATCCTCCTTTGTCAGTAGTCCCAGAGCATCTCTCTCCAAAGCTGTTTTCCTTACTTCCCAGGTAAACTTTGCCTCCTCCATTTCCATTCTCATGTTCTGGCTCTGCCCAGGCTTCTCCACAGCCAAGCTCCAGCACTGTTCTTATTCAAATCTAATCTTACCAGTATGGCTTTTGTTGGGTTATGTTTCTGCTGAAGGGAAGCAAAATTTGTGAGAAGAAAAACAAAATATCCAAACCAATAGTGTTTTTACTGCTTTTTCTTACAGGAAGAAATAAGCATGGAAAGAAACTTCACTGAAGAGCATGGGCTGAAAACATGAATTCCCATATTTCTTTTTCATGTAAAGACATTTGAAGACTTGAAAACTAAAATTATGTGTTTTGAACTAATTTGGTTTTAATTAATAATTCTGCTCTTCAGTCGCTCCTGACCAATTTATCACTCCTCAATATTTATGTTGTTTATTCCTTATCGGAAACAATAATTGGACGTAAAATTTAATAATAATATGATCCAACCAATGGTTGGTTTTTTTATCTCTTCCCCATGAAGCAAATCCAGAAGGAAAGGAGTTCTATTGGAAATGTCGACTAGAGGATCTTGCTGTCTGCTAATTCAGGGAATTTGTTTAGTGGTGCCCTTAAAAGATGCGTCCCGGTGCGGGGTTCTTCAGTTAGATAAGGAGAATCATTGTGACGCCTGCACACGCTCACGTTGAAAAATGTGTTTTTCTCCCTTGTTGCTGCTGTTTAAAGGGAAGGAAACAAAATTGCGTTGTTTCAGATATGAAGCACTGACAACAGGAACATAACACTTTGCTATTGGGGTCTGCTAGCCAGGCATTGCTGAAGGATTTTTTAAGCCATCCGTGATGAAAACTGAAGAGTGGCGCAGGCTTGGGAGTCTTTGTAGCTTCATCAGAACTTCTGCCGGGGAAAGTGTTTACATCCGTGCTAAACTGAATTAATTTATTTGGTCTTTTGAAAGGTCAGAATAAGAAAGTGAGTCTGCAAAGTTCTCAGCTGTATTCATTTCCTGCCTGGCCCGCGGTTCCCGGCCGGCATCTCTGATTAGTGCTGTTTACAAGTGACATACATCACTGTCACCATTAATCTTCAGGCAGTCGTTTCCTCGGCTGAGCCCTGCGGTGTTTGCTGCCAGCTCTGACATCAGAGCTCATTAGACAATGGCGTGTTAATGACCAGCTTCCGGAAAGGCTCACCTTCCACACTCACAGGCCTCTTTTAAAATGTGGTTTTTTCATTGTGCTGTTCACAGGAAATGCTGAAGGCGGGAATGTTCTCTAAATCCTGCACAAAATATGCTTCCTACTGCAGTTCTGCACTACTGGATTTATTTCTGTCTTACAGAAACCCAGAATGACTCCTCACATGACAGCCTGATCTTAAAGGATTTTTTAGTTTGGTTTTTGTTTTTTTAAGGCAGATTTTATCAACCCATGGCAATGGAGCAAACAGCGGCAAGTTTTGGGCTGAGAGTTTTCTGGTCCTTCTGGGAAAGATGCGGGACTGTTGCTTGGTCATGCACAAGAGGGCTGTGACTCCTAATCCACTGACTATTAACCGTAATAACCATAATATCAAACTCCCTACAGAGCACAAGGGAATAAAATCTGTGTTGCATCAGGACTGAGTCTGATATCACTGAACCACTGGGTGGTTTAAGCAGAGCCAACATGCTTAATGCCAGGCATCTCTGCTCTTCCAGTCAGACTATCAGGAACATCTCAGGATGCTGCAGCCCAGGCTGAGCTACCAGGGCAGGCATTGTCAAACCTCCACAGTGATTCTACAATATTTTTTTTTCAGCTTATATGTTATTATATTTTATTGCTACTTCTTCCTGATAACGCTTTGTTCTTGCATCCTGAATTTAGCTGAGGTGAATAGTCCAAGGGCTTACAAAGTGGTATGGTGGATTTCCCATCAGAGCAGTAAAAAAAATTGGTACCCAAAAAACTTGAAAATATATAGCTAAATTTCCATATGAATATGTAAATTTATTATCTTCAAAGTCTATCAAAAGCATCTGAAGATATAAAAGCTACATGTCAGTCTGATCTTTCTCTTCAGTAATTACCCAAAGACATTCATCACGAAAAAAAATAATAATGTTACATCACATTTCAGTGCAATCTTCCGAATGACTGAGAAATTTTCCAGGAAGGTTCAACTGATTTTTGATGATTGAAAAAAGTTGTATTCTAAAATGGAAGCTGGAATAGTTTTATTTCCTAGATTATGGACGTTTTGCAGTTGTAGTCTTTTTTTTCCTCCTCCTA